CCTGCAACAGAGGAGCCTTGGGAATGCTCTGGGTCATCAAATCTCATAGTCTGGCCAGGTGGGGACATGGAGAAGTTGAATAGTTGCCAGAGGGAGGAATTTGCCCACTATCTCTCGAGAAGTCCTTCCCTTCCCACCATGCTATGCTGGCCTCAGAGGCTGAGGGCGCCCAGCAGACCCAGCTTGAGGGGCCAGACAGTCCCAAGCCACAGGCTGCTTACTTCCACAGAGACAACTCTCTTCTCAAGAACGTGCAGACTGCGAGCATCAGACAGGCGCTGAATGGGTGTGCTGTCAGCGTCTGGGATGCCCTCAGTCTCTGGGGCGTCAACCTTGGCCTTGAGCTTGGTTGGGTTGAGCTCAGGCTTTGCCAAGACTTCAGTTGGTGAGGCCCTGGTCTTTCTACGGCGAACAGGAACAGACTTTTGCAACCTCTGCAAGAGAACAAAGGGTAGGGAAGAAAGGGATGTGCCATGGAAAGCTCCGACAGTGGTGCCAGACTGAGCAGTGACAGCAGGCCCATCCCAGGGAGGGATGGCTGCAGGTACCTGATCAGTTCTGTGGAAGCGGCCACGGGCACGGTCTTGCTCTTTTGTCTGGTGCTGGCCTGGATCTGGCAAAGAGTGAGTGTGGTCAGAGCTGAGGGGTTGTGGGACAGGCTGGAGAACACAGCCCAGCCCTGCACTCCACAGGCAGGGATGGCCCCAGCATGCCCATCCCATGGAGCTGCGGGAGGATCAGCCATGGGCCCTCTTCCCCCTCCCTTTCCCTGGCCATGTCCATAGAGGATGGGATGGGAAGAGGCCCATCTGGCTGCAGCCACCAGCCCTGTGGCCCAGCTCTGCCACTCACCCTCCTGCAGGGGCTGGAACTGCTCCACCTTCTTAGGCTGCAGTGCTGGGGCAGCCCCAGGGCTTTCCTCCTCCCCTTTTTTCACCCAGGCCAACTTGGGCACCCTGGGGGGTCTCCGCTCCATGTCTCTGTCTTGGTCCATGGTTTCCTGCAGGAGACATGGCATGGAGAAGCCTGGCTCACCAAGTTCTGCACAAGTGCCTTGAAGGTACTTGCTATACAGGAGCCTTGGGAATGCTCTGAGTCATCAAGTTCCACAGTTTGGCCTGTAGGGGACATGGGGCAGTTGGAGAGCTGCCAGAAGGAGCAACTTGTCCACTTTCCCCCAAGGAGTCCTTCCCTTCCCACCATACTGTCGTGGCCTCGAAGGCTGAGAGGGCCCAGCAGACCTGGTTAGAGGGCCCACACAGTCCCTACCCACAGGCTGCTTACTTGAGCAGAGAGAACTCTCTCCCAAAGAGCGTCCAGGCTGGGAGCATCGGGCAGGTACTCAACAGGTATGCTGTCAGCATCTACAATGCCCTCAGTCCCTGTATGATCAGCCTCCATGGTGAGCTCAGGCAGTGCCGTGTTGGAGTTTGTCAAGTAATCGGTCACCGCCATGTCACAGTTTGCTGTGCCATCAATTGAGGCGGTGCCGACATCAGAGTCTGCCTTGAGCTCCGTCGGTGTAGGGTCAGGCTGCACCATGACCTTGGTTGGTGATGTCCTGGTCTTTCTACGCCGAATGCCCTTGGATTTCCGCACTCTCTGCAGGAGAACAAAGGGCAGGGAAGAGAGTGATATGCCATGGAGAGCTCTGACAGTGGTGCCAGGCTGAGCAGTGACAGCAGGCCCAGCCCAGGTGGCGATGGTTACAGGTACCTGATCAGCTCTGTGGAAGTGGCCACGGGCACAGTCCTGCTCTTGTGTCCGGTTCTGGCCTGGATCTGGCAAAGAGTGAGCGTCGTCAGAGCTGAAGGGCTTCGGGACAGGCCAGAGAACACAGCCCAGCCCCGCGCTCCACAGGCAGGGATGGCCCCAGCATGCCCAGTGCATGGAGCTGCGGGGGGATCAGCCATGGGCCCTCTTCCCCCTCGCCTTTTCCTGGCCATGTCCATAGGGGATGGGATGGGAAGAGGCCCATCTGGCTGCAGCCACCAGCCCTGTGGCCCAGCTCTGCCACTCACCCTCCTGCAGGGGCTGGAACTGCTCCACCTTCTTAGGCTGCAGTGCTGGGGCAGCCCCAGGGCTTTCCTCCTCCCCTTTTTTCACCCAGGCCAACTTGGGCACCCTGGGGGGTCTCCGCTCCATGTCTCTGTCTTGGTTCATGGTTTCCTGCAGGAGACATGGCATGGAAATCTCTGGTCACCAAATCCTGCACAAGTGCCTTAAAGGCATCTGCAACAGAGGACTGTTTGGAATGCTCCAGGTCATCAAGTCCCGCAGTCTGGCCTGGAGAGGACATGGGGCACTTAGAGCTGCCAGAGGGAGCAATTCCCCAGCTGCCCCTGAGAAGTCCTTCCCTTCCCACCACACTGTGCGAGCCTCAGAGGCTGAGGGGGCCCAGCAGACCCAGCTTGAGGGGCCAGACAGTCCCTAGCCACAGGCTGCTTACTTCCACAGAGATAACTCCCTCGTCAAGAATATCCAGAATGAGAGCATCTGGCAGGCGCTGAATGGGTGTGCTGTCAGCATCTGCGATGCCCTCAGTCGTTGCACCATCAGCCTCCATGGTGAGCTCAGGCAGTGCCGTGTTGGAATTTGTCATGTGATCGGTCACCGCGGTGTCACAGTTTGCTGTGCCATCAATTGAGGCGGTGCCGACATCAGGGTCCGCCTTGAGCTCAGCTGGCGTGGGGTCAGGCTGTGCCATGACCTCAGTTGGTGTGATTCTGTACTTTCTACGCCGAACGCCCAACATTTTCAGAAAGCCCTGCGGGAGAACGAAGGGCAGGGAAGAGAGGGATGTATCATGGAGAGCTCCAATAGTGGTGCCAGACTGACAGCATGCTCAGCCCAGGGGGGGGATGGCTGCTGGCACCTGTACTGTCCGGCGGAAGCGGCCACGGGCACGGTCCTGCTCTTGTGTCTGGTTCTGGCCTGGATCTGGTAAAGAGTGAGCGTGGTCAGAGCTGAGGGGCTGTGGGACAGGCCAGAGAACACAGCCCAGCCCTGTGCTCCGCAGGCAGGGCCAGCCCTGGCATGCCCAGTGCATGGAGCTGCCGGGGGATCAGCCCCAAGCCCTCTTCGCCCCTCCCTTTCCCTGGCCATGTCCATAGAGGATGGGATGGGAAGAGGCCCATCTGGCTGCAGCCACCAGCCCTGTGGCCCAGCTCTGCCACTCACCCTCCTGCAGGGGCTGGAACTGCTCCACCTCCTCAGACTGCTGTGCTGGAGTAGTCCCAGGGCCTTCCTTCTTCTTCCGAAAGGGCCTGAGCAGGCTCAGGCGTCTTCCTAGCATCCCACAGTCTGGTCTTGAGGGTACCTGCAAGAGAGAGACACCTCGGAAGATCTCCGGGTCACCAAGTCCTGCAGGCTGCCCTCGAGGCCACCTTCCGCAAGGATTGGAGACTCCCCGGAAAATTTCCGGGTCACCAATCCTGCGGTCTGGCCTCGAGGGCAACTGAAGGAGAGAAAAGCCTAGGAAACGCTATGGGTTATCAAGTTGTGCAGCGCGGCCTCACGGGCACTTGTCACAGGGGTTGGGGACACCTTGCCAAAGCTCCGTGTCACCAAGTCCCGCGGTCTGGCCTTGAGGACACCTGCACCACAGAAACACCTCCAAAACGCTCCGGGTCAGAAAGGAAGGAGTTGACTGCGTGGGGGCTCCACACAGCACCGCTCTATCCCGTCTATCCCGTCGCATGCTCCGAGGAGCACTGAGACGTGGCCACGTCACCACCAGTACTATGTCATCACGTGTCACAAAGGCCCTGTGACAACCTGCCCTGTTCCATGCCATCGGCAATGCCCACCGTGTCACGAAGGGCCCTGTGACACACTGCCACCTGCCCTGGCGCCTCCCCCAGCCCAGCCACCTGCCCCAGGTCAGAAGGAGTTTGTTCTCCAAAGTATCTAAGACAGTTGGACATGAACTTTAGGCACAATTCAAAAACTAAGCAAACCCACCCCTGCTGTGCCCGCCCACAGCAGCAGAAGTATCCCCCTCGGTTGCCAACGCAGCCGCAGCGGGAAGGGCACGAGGCCTCCACAGAAGCTGGCATGGGCTCCCTGGGAGAAATGCCGGCTGGTGGTCCTCCCAAACACGGGGCTGTGACACACAGAAGGAATGCGGGGGCAAGGGCACCAATGCTGCTCCAACCCTGTTGGCCGGGGCTGCACCAAAATCAGCAGCTCTGGCAAGGCCTCACCGAAGGAGACCTGCCACCGCCCTGAGTCCTGGCAGGAGTGGTGCCCGTCTCCTGCCCCAAAGAACTGTGCCCCTGGGGGACTTCTCTGCCAGAGGGCAGCCAAAGCCAACGGGCACTGATGTCTGTGCTCTTGCAGGGGGCTGTTGGGAGCAGCACTTGGAGCAATTGGTGGCAGCGCTCGGCATCTGTCAGAACACAGGAGCAGTTTCTCCTTGCAGGAATGATTTTTGCATGGAAGTGATGACCTGCAGCAGAAAACCACCATCAGTTGCTGAGTTTCACATGAAGATTAGATTGCTCAGAAATCCTGTCAAGCTTCCTCGTGTTATTTGGACTTTTTTTCTGCGTTCTGCAAAATAAAAGCTGTCCAGTCTGACGTTCAAAGCTCCAGTTGCTGTGTGTCTGAATGCGACTCAGCTGATATCCAGGGCATTGGGGGAAAGCAAAGGGGATAGGGAGAACTCTGGGATGCAAACCTGTTCCGTGTCTCTGATTAAGGTGCCACCCCACTGGAAGGAGCAGCCAAGACAAGTGCTGGAAACAGATGTGTTCTGCCAGTTGCTGCTCTGGCATGGACAGAGGGCACACATGTTCCCATGGGTCCAGAACAGTTGATCCAAGAACAATGAGGGGCCATGCATTGGTAGGGAATGGGCTCCAGCAAGCCCAAAGTAGGATCCTCTAGCAGCAAAACCTGAGCTTATGAAATGGGCCGTCTTTCTAGCAGACACCACAGTGCTGACTTCCCTCCATCCTGGAACCTGAGCCATATGAGGCCCTGCTTCAGCTTCTGCTGCTTCTTCCTTCCATTCCGGGAAGGCCTGGATTTAGAGTTTAGAAGCCCATACATGTGTTTTTAAGGTGCCTGCATGGAGGAGACTTTCAGCAACTGCACCCCAAGGCTCATATCCCATCACAGTCTCTAAGGATGGCCCCAGTGCCACTGCCTTGGGACACCTGAGTCTGGAAGGTGACTCTGCCCTCAGGCATGGCCACAGAAGTGAGCCAGGATGACAGGCTGCCCCTGAAGGTGCTAAGTGTTGTTGTGAGGCTGGGCAGTCAATAGAAAGCTGTTGTGGCCACTTTCCCTGAAGCCCTTTCCAAACCCCATGCAATTGTGTGCACAGTATCCCCACTTCAGGCATCCTGGCCGGTGTGGGTGCCTGGGTGAGGAGGCCCAGGCATCGTGGGTGCTGCTGATCCTGTGCACAGCCTCCTGCTGTTCTCTGTGACACGGAGCTGCTTGGGCAGCAGCGACTGCGCATCCCTGCCCCAGGAGCCCCGCGCCCTCTCTGTGCTGGCAGCAGCTCTGAGGGCCCTGAGCCCAGGCTGGCCCTTTGCCTCTGTTCCTCACCGGTAACACCCAGCAGAGGTGGCCCGGCAGGGCCCCCTTTTCCCTCTTTGTCCCCAGGCAGGTCAGTCTGGCCCCTTTGGGGGTGTCCCCACCCCCCTGCCAAGGCCCCCAGGGCTTCTGCCACAGGGATGGGAGACACCACTGGCAAGTGCCAGAGCAGCTGGCTGTCAGGGAGCCAGGGGGCTGCCTGGGGGCTGCTTACGGCCTCTCCCATGCATTGGTAGGGAATGGAAAGACCAAAGCCTGAGCCTCTAGCAGCAAAACCTGAGCTTGTGAACTGGGAACAAAGGAAAAAGAAGCAGAAGCTGAAGCAAAGCAGGGATTTATACGGCTTGGATTCCTACTAGACAAAAGGTGCCAGGACAGAGCTCTTGCTGCCCATGGAGTGCCCAGGCTGGCCTACCAACTGCATCTGAAACCCAAAGCTTACAGGCTTTCTTTCCTGGGAGAAAAAGCCTGTTACTGGCTTTTTGGAGCACATGGCCGAAAAAAGCAAACAACAGCCCTTATCCCCAGCAAAGAAAGCCTGCAACCTTTGGCTTTCAGGTACAGTTGGTGGGCCAGCCTGGGCACTCCATGGGCAGAAAGAGCTTTCTGTCCTGGCACCTTTGGTCTGGCAGGAATCTTCATCTGTATGGAATTTTGGGAGTTGGGCTGGCAGCTGCAGCGCAGGGCTGAATAAAGCAAACAACAGCCCTTATCCTCAGCAAAGAAAGCCTAGAACCTTTGGCTTTTGAGGGCAGTTGGTGGGCAAGAGTGGGCACTCCATGGACAGCAACCTTTGGTCTGGGAGGAATCTTGGCCCCTATGCAATTTTGGCAGTCAAGCTGGCAGTTTGAGCACAGGGTTGAAAAAAGCAAACAACAGTCCTTTTCTACAGCAAAGAAAGCCTGGCATCTTTATTTTTCTGATGCAGTTGGTGGGCCAGCCTGGCCACTCCACGGGCAGCAAGATCTTTCTGTCCTAGCACCTTTGGTCCAGCAGGATTCTTGGTCTGTATGCAATCTTGGAAGTGGGACTGGCAGTTTGAGCGCAGGGCTAAAAAAAGCAAACAACAGCTCTTATCCCCAGCAAAGAAAGCCTGTCAGATTTGGGTTTCTGGTGCAGTTGGTGGGCCAGCTTGGGCACTCCATGGGCAGCAAGAGCTTTGTGTCCTGGCACCCTTTGGTCTGGGAGGAATCTTTGTCCGTATGGAATTTTCGGAGTGGGACTGGCAATTTGAGTGCAGGGCTGAGAAAAGCAAACAACAACCCTTATCCCCAGCAAAGAAAGCCTGGAACATTTGACTCTCTGGTGCAGTTGGTGGGCCAGCCTGGGGACTCCATGGGCAGCAAGAGCTTTGTGTCCTAGTACCTTTTGTCTGGGATTTATCCTCTTCCATATTCAATTTTTGGAGCTGGACTGCCCATTTCAGCTCTGCAATTCCTGCAAGCAAACATCAGTCTTTTTTCCCTGGAAAGAAACCCCTTATCTTCATGGTTTCTGGTGCAGTTGGTAGGCTAGCCTGGGCACTCCATGGGCAGGAAGCGCTCTCTGTCCTAGCATCCGAGCAGACCAGCTCAGGTCAGCTCAGCTGTCCTTTGATGCCTTCTGAGATGACCAAGAGAGGAACTGAGGTTCTTTGTCAGAGATTTATACTGCATGGAGAAGCTCTTCCATGTTCAGCCCAGCCCAGCCCAGCTCAGCTCAGCTCAGCTCAGCCCAGCCCAGCTCAGCTCAGCTCAGCTCAGCTCAGCTCAGCTCAGCTCAGCTCAGCTCAGCCCAGCCCAGCCCAGCCCAGCCCAGCCCAGCCCAGCCCAGCCCAGCCCAGCCCAGCCCAGCTGCCCTGCAAGCTCTAATCATTTGATCATTGCTTGGAGCTGAGGGCATTTGTGGGAGATTTAAACTGCTGGGAGAAAGTGCTCCCAGCTGAGCCCAGCTGCCTTGCAAGGTATAATCAGATCATCAGGGAAGGGAGTCCCGGTTGTTTCTTGGTCATATAAACTGGTTCAGGGAGTTCAAATAACCTTGTCTATGGCAAACAGGAGCAGGAAAATGTGGGTGTGGCCTTGTTAAGGAGGGCACGGCAGGACCCAGGTCACCCAGACAGGGAGAGCAGGAAGAGCACAGCCACCCTCCCAGCTCTCTTTGGTGGCCTGTAAGGTAGGTC